ACTCCAAGACAGCCCACAGTAGCAAGCAGATGTGATGGCGGCTTGGTGGAATAGAAGGGGAAATGAGTATTCCAAGGCGCAACAGCAGCAAGCAGGTGTGGTGCACGTGAATCCGCACACAGAGACAAGTTTTGAGGCGCCTCAAAACTAGAATCCGCACGCAGAGACACAGAGGGACTGACAATGGGAGGAAACACGTGGTTTCGTGGAGCCTGGAGCGAGCAATGTCGAGCTGATGGATCCAATCCACATTGATCCGCCACGCTGTGGTAGACAAGATTGACACAGCATGCACCAACCCAAACACACATGCAGGCTTGCACAGATCCCACGCACGCAAGCACCCACTCCCTGATTGTTGTAAGCGGAAGACTCACCGAGTTGAGCTTCTTGGCGAGCTGAGGAATCCCACACCGATCCGCCAAGCTGTGGTAGACCTGCAGTGACACAGACATGCACACACAGACGTGCAGAGAAATAAAGAAACGCCACCAGAGTCACAGGGGGGCTTTACTTGGAGGAAAAAATAAACCAATCACAGACGGCTTAAAACGTGACCTCGCAGAAACTCGATTATTATAAACCAAACAGAGCCAGAACACAGACGGCTCGTGCATGACAATCTTAGCTCTGGGAAACTCGCCTCAGCTTCAAGATGTGTCCTCTTGAACTCACTGGTCTGCAGTGGATAAAAGCATCCATTATCCATATATGCGAGTGCATATTTAACTCACCGGCCTTGTTCTCTCTTTTAGCACTTGTGAACTCACCGGCCTGCTTCGGAAGAAAGCCTCTTCATATGTGAGTGCGTCCTTGACACTCTTCTTTGCATTGATGTCCTACAAGGGGACAGGAGAGGCAAGGGAAAATGAGAGATACGAAGGTGCGACGAGGTCTTCTTGGAGCGAACGAACTCAAAAGTCAGCTCGTTATAATGTCACACGGAATCTGCTAGGGGACAGGAGAGGCAAGGGAAAATGAGAGATACGAAGGTGCGACAAGGCTGCCCATACGTAACCAACGTGCCAAAGGTTACCGAACAGCATCTCACCATGCGCAGAGGAATGTCATTCCACAGCACCTCGTATCGTATGCCTCACTGCACATACAACCCCTAACTGTGAACAGTTCATTTTTGAGGCGCCTAAAAAGTTGACCCCTGACTGTGAACAGTTTATTTTAGAGGCGCCTAAAAAATTGACCCCTGACTGTGAACAGTTTATTTTTGAGGCGCCTAAAAAATTGACCCCTGACTGTGAACAGTTTACTTTTGAGGTGCCTAAAAAATTGACCCCTGACTGTGAACAGTTTATTTTTGAGGCGCCTAAAAAATTGACCCCTGACTGTGAACAACATAACCCACTGACAACGACGCACCTCCTGGCTGCGGTTGGTTGATGACACCCACGTAGCCCAGGCACAGAGGAATGACATTCCCTAGAAGCAGTTTGTTACAGGCATCAGTACCCCGCACCTTCTGATGCACTCAACAAGTCAACCCCCCCCCCCTCCCCCCCCCACACACACAAGTCACACACACGCACCTCCTGGCTGCGGTTGATGACGCCCACGTAGCCCAGGCGCAGCGGAATGACATTCCCCAGGAGCAGGTTGCAGGCATCTGTGCCCCGATCCATGATGTCGAGCTGCAGAATCCAACAGTTAAGGAAGAGTCAAGCACAGCAGCGCAGTTTCAGAGTGGAATGTAACGAAGCGAAGTGACATGACATCCATTTCAGCCTGCACTACAAACTTAGAAGCAAGGATATAATAAGAGACATGATGCAGCACACACAACAGGAGGCAGCAGCGCACAGCAGTGATGAGTTGCGAAAAGCAGCAATCTACCCACCCACCTTTGTGATGACTCCGATTGTTCGATGCCCTGACAGGTTACAAGCAGCAGGGAGTGAAGACAGAGACACCGGGAAACGAAAGGTTAGAGTGAGACCGAGGGGCGAAATGGTTGATCATGCAAGATGGAGACAGTAGCAATCTTGCAAGACTGCGGCGTCCGAAACGGCCAGACCCGCATTTGCAGGCGTGACTGACGGCAATGCACGTCTTGTGCTTGATGCCAGCACGGCGTAAGCCGGCCGGAATTACATGGGCGGTGCACGCTAGGATTACGGCCTGCACCCTGTGTCCCTCCCCCGATGTCCCAAAAACCAATGCAGCTACCTTACAACAAGCACACCAGCACAAAGCTGACCATCAGGGACTGCCATCTGAGCCACTCGCAGGGCATCAGAGCTCGCCAGGTCCGCATTGGCGGGAGTGACTGCAAGAATGATGCACGTCTCGTGCTGGATGTAGGCCAAGATCATGGACCGCACGCGCGCCTCTATGCATGTCGGACGGCTGGTCGCCCCCCCTGCTCACACTCACACACTCACCATCAGGGTCTGCCATGCGAGCCACTTGTAAGGCGTCCGAGTTGGCCAAGTCAGCATTGGCGGGGGTCACAGCGAGGATGATGCACGTCTCGTGCTTGATGTAAGCCAGGATCATGGACCTGACCCGCGCCTCTATGTCCGACGGCTGGTCGCCCACAGGGACCTTGGTGATGCCCGGGAGGTCGACCAGGGTGATGGTGAGGACGTGCGGGGAGAAGATCTTGAGGCGAATCTGCTTCTCCGTGATGCCCTTGTTGATGCCCACCTCCCGCTCCGTCTCCAGCTGAAAAAAGAAGGGGGGTGTGAGCAATTGACATGGAGGGGGGAAGGAGAGGAGGGGAGGCAGAGGGGGAGTGATGGTGGTGGTGAGCACGTGTGGGGAGAAGATCTTGAGGTGGATCTGCTTCTCAGTAATGCCCTTGTTGATGCCCACCTCTCGCTTCTCCAGCTGAAAAAGCGGGGAAGGAGAGAGTGGCATGGGAGGGAAGGATGGAAGGAAAGAAGGAGAGGAGAGGAGAGGGAGATCAGGTTGGTGAGGATGTGGGGGAAGAAGACCTTGAGGCGAATCTGCTTCTCCGTGATGCCCTTGTTGATGCCCACCTCCCGCTCCGTCTCCAGCTGCAAAGGGGGGGGGGGTGAGGAATTGAGAGAGGTGAAGTCGAGGAAAAGCAGGAGGAGAGGGGGCAAGGGGGGATGGAGAGGGAGAGGAGGCAGAAAGGGGGCAAGGGGAAAAGGAGAGGGAGAGCAGGAGTGATGGTGGTGGTGAGGACGTGCGGGGAGAAGATCTTGAGGCGGATCTGCTTCTCCGTGATGCCCTTGTTGATGCCCACCTCCCGCTCCGTCTCCAGCTGCGAAGGGGGTCGAAATTTTAACAAGAAGGAAGAGGAGAGGAGTCCAACCCAAAGACGAACGTCAAAGCGGGAATTCTTGGCCGCAAGCTTGACTTTGCTTCTCCAATGGGCTCTTGGCCGATTTCCACTGCAGCTGAAACCATGGGTGAGCTGATGGCGCTATAGCGAGCAGCACAAACGAGGCAAACGGGACGGCAACAACGGAATTCAGGAAGGTTTCAGGAAGGTTGTAGGAAGGGGAGAAAAACCACCACCTCCTGGCTCACACTACCTGCAGGCTGCATGGTGTCGATCGCATCTCATCCGAAGCTCACGCCTTGGAGACGCCTCAGAACCCACCTGAATCTTGTCCCGAGTCGCGGGAAAATCTGTGAACCTCTTTCCCGGCAGGTGAGAAAACACCAAGCCCAAATCTTGCAAGTTGTAACGTCTGACCAACAAACCTGAATCTCGTCCCGAATCGCGGAGAAATCCGTGAATCGCTTCCCCGGCAGGTGCAGGAACTCCCCCCATTCCTCCGCCTTGCCGTCCGCGCGCTTCGGCACCTGCACCAGCTGCAGCACCAGCGGCCGACGTGTCACCACGTCGGATCCACGTGGCAGGAAGTCTTTCCCGACGAGCGACTCGAGCACGCTGGATTTCCCGCTGCTCTGGCTGCCGACAACGGCTACTTGCGGTAGGTCGATCGCGCTGGAGGATCCGAGCTGGGAAAAGATGTCCTGGAGCTTATTAACTACTGGAATGACCGAGTCGCCCAGTAGCTCGATCGTGGAAGCTTCCTCTTCCTCTACGACCTCGGGGCGCGTGTACGCCATGGCACAGGCGAGAGAAAAGAGAAGGCGGAATCAAGATGGATCTACTAGTTAAGGTCCAGCCCGGGTCTTTCGGATACTGAGGAAAAAGGCCCGATCAGCGTTAGTAACTATTGATCACGGCAAGTTACTGATGAACGGTTCAGATCCGTCGCCAGCTTGGCTCAATCGGTTCGGTTCTATTCCGCTACGAATGTGTGATCTGGACTCTAAAGGGGACGGGAGCGAATTCCGATAAGACTGTGATCCTGGGGATTGGAAAGTGCAGCGAACACGACGTGTACCAAACAACCCTCGCTTCCTAGTGCGAATCCGAAGCAAAGGAACCGTAAAGAAAACGCGACTATCCGAAACAATCAACAATCAAGTGTCCGGCAAAGGTGTGCTCCGACCTGGCGTTGGGAGAGAGACACTCGAGGATTCCTTGAGATTAAAGCACAGAAATTTTCGGGATGAGTCGACCTGGCGATGATCCGCTAACGAACTAGCCCGTTCGGAGACACGTCATTAGCAGGTCCCAAGGGAATGCAGTAGACTGGCGCGGCAGGCGAACGACAGCCTAACTAAGGCCACGGCAAGCTAACTGTGAACAGCAGACTAATCAGGCAGCAGACTAGACACCACGCTGACAGAATCTGCTAGCACTAAGCGAATTCCGTTAGTGTCTGACGCAAAAGACGGTCTGCGCTGTAACTCTCTGCTTGTGGAGGAGGAACCTAGAGATTTGTCAACGAGACAGGCCTCAATGGCATGACGGTCTGGTTTGGCTTGGCACCGCACCATTTGGTTCGGTTCGGACAAGGTCTGACTCGAGGCTTTCAAACTGCTTGGAGAAGATTTCGATTGGCTGATCATTTCCGAGCCTACATGGAGAGGAGGCGTGAGCCAGCGGCGATGAAGCTGGCGCAAGCACAGAAAGTACCATGAACACGCAATACGTCTAATTATGGGCCTCATGTTAAGGTACATGATCAATATACAACACAATCAATATGAATAAAAAAGTGATGGATCGATCCTCATGATTTTTGGAAGTACATTACCTCTTCCCAGAAGAATTCTCATCTCTTTCCACTCTTCCATGCTCCAAAGCTTGTTTGGGAAACGTGCCAGCACAAATCTTCAAAGCACAATACATTGGCTACTCAAACATTGAATTACACTTCCTGAGTAATGGTCAACTCTTCCATTAGGTCAATCATATGTGCCATTGAGGATGCGGGGTCATGCTGTCAGTGTCGTTGGGCACCAGGTGTCATCGATGCAGAATGTTTTTCTTTTGACGCTTCTCTTTTGGCTGTTGTTGAGACACACAGACATGCGACCAAGGGGGTGTGGTGGCAAGGAAAGCAGAATTTTGAACACTTTCACAAGGTTGGAAGGAACTAAAAAAAACACGGGATAGAGTGAGAGAACACCATTTTTTTGTGAAACTTGGGGTGTATTTCCAAAAGCAACAGAATGGAAATATAGTCTGCAAAAGCACTTACCCGGCTACCCCGGTTTCGAGACTGGAGAGCCTCCGTGTCAACTCTTTCCTTCCACGTGCTCTTCCTCAATTGGATTGGTCGATTGCCCACGTACTTCCCTGCTCATATCAACATGCGTGTGTGCATGCACAGGACATGTTGCACAGCACAAAAAAATAAAACAAAAAAAATCTACACGTGCAACCAACTTTACACAGCACAGACAGATGACACTATGGAAGCACAATGCCACTCTCAACACCAACAGGGATTCCATTCGTCACCTAACTCACCGTTGGTTTCATTGACCCACTGTTGACCTCCTTGCCAGCATCGGCACGGCGAAGCACAATCAAGATAGGCCTCACAAAGATTCGAGTCCATCCACCACTATTCACCTCAGTATCTCAGCACAATCAAGCACGTTGCTAAGATAGGCATAGGCCTGTCCGACTCCTTGTTAACTTCTTTGATTAACAAAACTTCCCCGTAAACCACCTTTGAAAACTATCTGACTCACGGTTAATTTCCTTGGGAGAAGCAGTACGGTCATGCACTTTGTTGGACCACTGACTGTGGTCACTCTGTTGACTTATATTGACGCCACTGGACTCACCCTTCATCTCCTTAAATCCAGCCGCGCAGTCCGTCACTTCATCACAGCTTCGCTCCATCGACCCTCCGTTGACTCCATAAACTCGTCCTTCATCTCCGAGAGTGCAACGGCACAGACCATCACTTCACCAGAGCTTTACCTCACTGAGCCACACTTACCTTCAATGACTTACATTGACCGTGCTTGTCTCACCGTTCGGCTCCTTGAGTGCAGCAGCGCAGACCATCACTTCACCAGAGCTTGACACATTGACCAACCATCGACCTGTAATAGTATTCCCCTATTAATTAGTAGCCTACATAGTTTATTAGACTTGGATAATTTTAAAGGAGCCTATCATAACTAGGGTGCAGTAACCCTTCTCTGGGAGTTGGGTTCCAACCTTGGCCATTATTGCCCCCCCAAAATTGTTGGGCCTCCCAATTATTGGAGACCCCAAAAATCCCACCGAGATTATTAATTATTGGACACCCCAGAAAACCCTAAAGCCTAGAACATGGACTCTCCCTTGACTTCTGCGGACTGCATTGACCCACCATTGACCTCACCAACTCACCGTTCATCTCTTTGAGCGCAGCAGCACAGTCCATCACTTCACCGAAGCTCACGAAGCCATACCCCTTGGTCTTGCCCGAGTTCTTGTCCCTCACCACCTATGGTGGGGGGGAGTTTCCACATGGGGAAACGGGAAGGGGAGAGGGATTGTCGGGCACGAGTATTGCAGCAGACCACTTGGTCCCTCACAAAGCCATACCCCTTGGTCTTGCCCGAATTCTTGTCCCTCACCACTTGGGGTGTAATTGGGGGGAGAGGGGGGGGAGGGAAAGTGTGAGTGACAGGCACGAGCATTGCACCTGAACCTCTCAACCCTCTCACAAAGCCATATCCCTTGGTCTTGCCCATCTTGTCCCTCACAACCTGGGGTGGTGGGGGGAGAGGAGGGAGCGAAGGGGAAGTAAGGAGATAGAGTGGCATCAGCAGTGCACCTGCGCCCTTGGTCTCACTCAGCAAAGAGAAAGACTGGCCTCTTACGAAGGCGTCCCCCTTGGTCTTGCCGAGTTCCTGTCCATCGCATCCTGGGGTAAGAGCATTCGGGCAGAGAGACACAGGGCAAGCGCAAAGGAAATCGTATCGCTGAAACGCCTGATTGACACAAAAATACGAGTGCAAAAAATACCAGGGCACAAAAGTACTAGTGCACAAATATACCAGTGCACAAAAATGCCAGTGCACAAATATACCAGTGCACAAAAATACCAGTGCACAAAAATGCCAGTGCACAAAAATACCAGTGCACAAAAATACCAGCGCACAAAAATACCAGCGCACAAAAATACCAGTGCACTGTGCAGCCGTGCCCCACAAGTACCCTTACATGGTTGCTCACCTTGGCCATGTTAAATGAAGCGTATTTCTGAAACGCCTTTGCAAGCACGTCATCATTGACCTCGTTGCCCAGATTACCGCAAAAGAGACGGTGGTCATCTGAAGAAAGGGAGGGTGCATGGGGGTATGGGGGTATGGGGGTACGGGGGTATGGGGGCTTGGAGGTATGAGTCAAGGCCTTGGGTTGGGCGCGGTGCTTTGAGTTGCGAAACTCCGCCAAGTTGCGCTGGGTTTTGAATCTCCAAGCGCAACTCAATGTGCCAGGCCAGGCCAGTTGCACAAGTCGGCGGAATTGCGCAGCTGATGTACCAGTTGCGTAGTCAAAAATTTTCGGGGCATGTGGACAAGAGAGCAGAGAGAGAAGATAGCGGGGGTATGGTCACAACTTTGCACAAAACGGATGAAAGTGACGCCGTTAAAGAACGACGGTAATTTTCAATGCGCCATTCTCCAGCCTGACCATTTACCCATGCTTATGCGTCGCATTTACCCACGCATCGCATTGCATTTACCCACGCATCGCATCGCATTTACCCATGCTTATGCATTTCTCCTAGCTGACGAAGTGGAGCAAGCATTAAGGTTGACCGAGACAAACTCGATGCTAGCTCAACGGCATCGGCTAAGCGAAAAGCATACACATAGGGTAACCGATCCGGCAAAAAACAGCGTATGCTAGTTTTTTCCTTCCGTAGCATGGGAAACAACACGTTCGTCCACACATTGGGAAGCTTCCGAGGCTAGAGGCCAGTCTCCAGACAACAGCGTGAGGAGTCTATTTTTGAGGCGCCTCAAAAAAGAAAACAACACGTTTCATCCGCATACTCGATAGCTTCTGAGGCTAGAGGCCAGTCCCCGGACAACAAGACCTTCGTCCGCACTTCCCAAACGCCCATATTCCCACATGGTCACGTTCACACGCTCTCACTCACTGGCATAAATGATCACTCACTCTCTCACCCACTCTGCGAAAGTCGGATCTGGCTACTAAGGCATCTCAACTTAACCACAACCACAGCATTCTTGGGCAACTTTTGAGTCGACTCAAAATTCACCTCAAATGCTCAAATCTCACTGCCACAGTGCCACCCACCCACTCTGCGAAACTCGGATCTAGCTACTGAGGCGTGTCAAAACCACAACGATCTTGGGCAGCAGGGGGCCAATTCTTGAGGAGCCTCAAAAAAAGACTCAGCCACTCAGCGAGAGTCGGATCTAGCTACAAGGGGTGTCAAAACCACAACGTTCTTGGGCGACAGACAGGGGAACGACTCACTCTCAGGCCACTCCGTGAGTGTCGGATCTTCCCACTCCTCCCAGCCACAAAACAAAAGTCGCACTTAGCGTTAAGGCGTCGTAAAACCACAGCTTTCTTGGGCAACAGGTGAACGACTCACTCTCAGGCCACTCCGTGAGTGTCAGATCTTCCCACTTCTCCCGGCCACTCAACAAAAGTCGGATCTAGCTACTATGGCGTGTCAAAACCACAGCGCTCTTGTGCAACAGGTGAACGACTCACTCTCAGGCCACTCCGTGAGTGTCGGATCTTCCCACTTCTGCCCCGCTGCAGTTCTTGGCACTGGCCGCTTTTTCTTTTGCTGCCCGGCAGCCTGCCCGGCCACGCCCAGCGGCATGCCACTGGCCAGGGCAGCTTTGACTCCCTCGAGCGCTGCTGGGTTGATCATTGCTGCATCCCTTTGAAACAGCTGCTCCGCCTGGAGGGAGGAGGGAGAAGGACGGAGGGACAAAGGGGGGGGGGGGTTTAGACTCCCCTCCAGCGCTGCTGGGTGAATCGTTGCTGCTTCCCTTTGAAAAGGTTGCTCGCCTACAAGGGAGGGGGAGAGAACGCAGGAAGCAGCAACCTTTGAGTACTCAAAGTGGGTGCTTTTCATTGTTCAGGCAGCAGCCCAACTAGACTCATCTGGAACAAATGACGTGAATAGGGGTCTGGTTTCGAGACGTCTCAACCACAGCACAGCATCGTTCAGGCAGCAGCCCAACTAGACTCATCCGCAACACAGACCCACGCAGGTCGGTAGCATTCACACATTACAACTCACCTGTGAGTTGATGGGCTTTCCAGCCGCTCTCGCTGCATTGGGGTTGGCCTGATAACAAGGGGATGCCAGGGGGGGAGCAACAAGGGGGGGAGCAACAAGGGGGGGAGCAACAAGGGGGGGAGCAACAAGGGGGGGAGCAACAAGGGGGGGAGCAACAAGGGGGGGAGCAACAAGGGGGTGGTTGTTAGGGAGAAAGCAACTAGGAGCGGGGAGGGAGGGTGGGGAGTTGATCCGCTTTCCAGCCGTCCTCGCTGCATTAGGGTTGGCCTGATAAGAAAGGGATGCCAGGCGGGAGAGCAACAAGGGGGGGAGCAACAAGGGGGGGAGCAACAAGGGTGTCAGGGGAGGGGAAAAGGGAGGGAGGGGGGGTATGTATGTCAGGGAGTGGGCTATTTGGAAGTGACAATGATAAGGAAGGTGGTCACTGAGAGGAGCAAGGTGATCCTCTCAGGAATTCAGGCAGATAGCACCAACGGTCCAACACTGCCCGTCACAGTCACTCCCCGCCCCATACTGTCCCCAACACTAACATTAACACTAACATTAACACTAACATTAACACTACCATTAACATTAACACTAACATTAACACTACCATTAACATTAACACTAACATTAACACTAACACCATGTCACCAACACTAACTCAGATTACTCTCAGCAAGATTCCTCAGAGGAGCAAGGGTAGTCAGCAGTGCACGGAGCAAAGATGGTGAGTGCAAGCAACGATGTGCTCACCAGGAGTTCTCACAGAGATGTCTCCTGCCCGTTGCTCGCCGCCCCATACTGCCCCCAACGCTAACATTAACACCACTAACACCAACAGTAACATCAACACCACTAACACCAACACTAACATTAACACCACTAACACCAACACTAACATTAACACCACTAACACCAACACTAACATCAACACCACTAACACCAACACTAACATTAACACCACTAACACCAACACTAACATTAACACCACTAACACCAACACTAACATTAACACCACTAACACCAACACTAACATTAACACCACTAACACCAACACTAACATTAACACCACTAACACCAACACTAACATTAACACCACTAACACCAACACTAACATTAACACCACTAACACCAACACTAACATTAACACCACTAACACCAACACTAACATTAACACCACTAACACCAACACTAACATTAACACCACTAACACCAACACTAACATTAACACCACTAACACCAACACTAACATTAACACCACTAACACCAACACTAACATTAACACCACTAACACCAACACTAACATTAACACCACTAACACCAACACTAACATTAACACCACTAACACCAACACTAACATTAACACCACTAACACCAACACTAACATCAACACCACTAACACCAACACTAACATCAACACCACTAACACCAACACTAACATCAACACCACTAACACCAACACTAACATCAACACCACTAACACCAACACTAACATCAACACCACTAACACCAACACTAACATCAACACCACTAACACCAACACTAACATTAACACCACTAACACCAACACTAACTCGGATTACTCTCTCTGCGTGTTTTTCAGAGGAGCAACGGTAGTCAGTGAGCGAGCGGACTTTTGAGTCGACTCAAGAGCGAGCGGAGAAAAGAAAGATGGTGAGCGCAAGCAACGATGGGCTCACCAGGAATTCTGACAGTGATGTTCCCTGCCCGTTGCTCCCCGCCCCATACTGCCCCCCCATCGCTCCAAACCCCCCCCCACCTGCTCCAAATGTTGCTACCCCCCCTCTGTACCCCCCTGGCCCCGCCCCATAGCCTCCTGCGCCCATCCCCCCCATCCCCCCGCCCATGCCCCCCATCCCCCCCATCCCTCCGCCCATGCCCCCAAACCCCCCCATTCCCCCGTATCCCCCTGCGCCCCCAAGCCCCCCCACTCCGCCAAGCCCTCCCCCTGCTGCATATGGCGCTGCCCCTCCGTATTGTGACATGCCTATAGTCACACCCGCGTGACTAGGACCAGCCCCATACCCCGCTGAAGGCCCCCCTGCTGCTGCTGCTGCTGCTGCTGATGGCGGTGGTGGTGATGGTGCGGTTGGTAACGGAGAGGCGGAGACAGTAGGCGCAGGCGGAGGAGGGGGAGGAATTGGCGGAGTGGGCTTGCCTGCAGCTGCTGACTTTTCCGCCTCCTTTCCCCCCTCTTTTCCCCCACCATCTTTCTCCGCCTCCCCCTCCGCCCCTTCCCTCCCCGCCTCTTCCGCCTTGGTCGCTTTCACAGGCGCAGCAGCGTATACTTTCCGCGTAGGGGGAGCGGCAGGGGGAGGGGCGGAGGGGGGAAGTGGCGGAAATTGTGTCCTCCCCCCCGTGCCACCAGTGAAAGGCGGAACGGGTGAATGCGCGGGTGGGGGTGTGGGGGGAAAGGGCGGAAACGATGGTCGCGCGGGTGGTTGGTAGCGCGGAAACTGGGTTTGTGCGCCTGATGCTGGCGGGGGAAGGGGCGGGGAAGGCGCAACAGGCGCAGCAGGGGGAGTAGCGGCGGGAGACTGTGACCAAGAACCGGCGGGGCGATAAGGCGGAGTTGGAGGAAAGGCGGAGGGCGGTGGGGGGAGGGCGTGTGGCGGAAGCGGGGAAGGCGGACGACCAGGCGCAGGGGAGACGGCGGAAGGGGCAGGCGGAACAGGCCCAGGGTGAGCGGGCAGGGGGGAAAGCGAGGGCCGCGCAGGAGAAGCCCCTGGGGGAAGCGGCGGTGGCGGCCGAGGGGGAGGCGGAGCAGGGGAAAGGGGAGGTGCGGCTCTAGCGGGGAGCGGCGGAGCGGGCGGAAGGGGCACTTGCGCGAGGAGGTGCGCGGGGGGCGGAACGGCCTTGGCGGAAGAGGACTCCGCGCCGAGTGCGCGCATCTCCTCTTCGAAGCGATCCAGCTCGCTTAGGAGATGCGCCATGGCGGATAGCTGAACCTCCTACCAGCCAGCTGCTGCCTAGTTGAAACTCCTGTTAGCAGAACTTAGCTGCAGGACTTCGTACTTAGCTGTAGTATTTCAATAAGTAGCTGCAGCACTTTGTGGCTGTCCTACACAGTGAGCCTAGAGTAGCACTTAGCTGTAACTGTAACACATCGTTGTAACAGCAGAGGAGGCAGACGAAGACATCAGCAAATGCGAAGCTTGACCGCAGCTAAGACTGAGGAGGCTGAGCGCCAGACGACTGGGACGAATGCGGAGCAGCGTCGTGTCGCCGTTTCAGTGGAGTTTTGAGGCGCCTCAAAAGCAGCGTCGCGTCGCCGTTTCAGTGGAGTGCTAGAGTAGAGCACAGGGCGAGCGGCGACTGAACGGATAAGGCGAAAGCGAGGGAGATTGGCGGGGCAGCGTCAGTCACCTACTCGCGAGAAAAAGGAGCAGCGTCGCGGCGTGAGTGGACTACAGTAGAGCACAGGGCGAGCGGCGACTGAACGAATGAGGCAAGATCGAGCGAGATTGGAAGAGAGCCGTTTTAAGAACGCGTTAAGAATCGTGAATTCGAGAGTCGGGACCTCGGTAAGAGTGGTGAAGCCGACCGAGGGGGAACGCTCAAGGATCGTGTTTAGGCTTCCCTAGACCAGTCATGGTTCTAGGCTACTCGTACTTATTGCGACCATTGCAACGGCGATAGCCAGGCGGGAGAGTTCGGGTTTGAACTTGGGGATGGAACACTCGAGAGAGATCAATCTCGTTAGTGGGTAAACCGATAGTGCCGGATAAGTTGGGCAACAAACACCTGAACAATGTGTAAGCTCGCGTTGATGGAAAAATGAGTAGAAAACATTCACAAAACAAATGGATGAAATACGGGTGTTCCAGATTCTTTCAAAAATCAAAGGCCGTGGATGGAAACGGAAATAAAATGTTCCTCAATGCGCATTCAAAGCCACGAGGTCTATATGCATGTCATTTGTACAACTTCCAAAAAAGTTTGTAATTAGGCCTCTCGATATCAAGGTGAAATAGGCTGATGACCCTTACTATAAGGGTGGGGTACACGTTGAAAAGAGTTAAGAAGCTAGCTAGGCATTGTTGTGATAAATGAAGTTTTGCATTCCTGCAAGTTCCGTTTTCAGTGTAATTAGCAGTATCCAGTTTCTCGGTAAGGAAACATGTCTGAGTGCTGACGTCAGCAAAGCTTCGCGGGTCTCGGGATTACGTCAGCATATCGTTTCAGTTACGCAATAGGCGTAACGAACCGCTTAAGTCACGCGAACAGTCGCGACCCTATAGTATGACGAATAGGTCGCATAGCGCGATAGTGACGAACAGGTACATTAGCGAACAGATACTTTCCATAGAGCTATAAATTCTTGTAATGCCTTTCTATTATTAACCTTGACTTTACACAGAATTATGTGCTCAGGTTATTCAACCTTTGACTACCCACAAGTTCATGTGCTCAGGTTCACTCTGATAAGACTTCCGCTGTCTTACTAGTCTACCATTCCAGCAAAGATCCTTGGTTAAGTACTCGTGTTAGCAGATTCTATACTTAGTCTCCAGCAACACCTGTCAAATTATTTCAGGCATGAGAATGGCGAGAGGTTTTAGCTAGGGAGAAAAGTTGATGATAGAAAAGAGAGATGGGCTAGAAGAGGGAGGGATACAAGAAGGGTGTTGTACCCTCTACAATATGATCCAGTATTATAGCACACCTAACCTACCTAGCCTACACAACTGTAAATAAATAATATATATAAGTTGAGATGCGTTGGACCCTTATTTATTTGAGTGGTTTTCTTATAAACCCTTATGAGAAAATGTAGAAATTTTTAGGGCCCTAATTTATAAGAGCACCGATTGTCAAACATGTTTAGTTATCATGCTTGTATAGACTATATAGGGTCATCTTCTAGAGAGTACAACAGTTAGGTATATGTTTGTGTACTCTCTCTCTCTATTCATCAATTTCACTGTTTGATATGGTATCACGCGTAGGTAGGATCCCCCCCCCCCCTCACGCTTCCGCTCGCCCCCTAGCTGGGCCCCGTCGTGCTCCTAGCCCCGTCGCGACCCTCCCTAGCCCCGTCGCGACCCTCCCTAGCCGCGTCGCGCCCCTTCCTGGGCCCCGTTGCGCCCCTTTCTGGGCCCCGTCGCGCTCCTCCCAGGCTTCGTAGCGCCCCTCCAGGCCCCGTCGCGCCCCTTTCAGGGCTTCGTAGCGCCCCTCCAGGCCCCGTCGCGCCCCTTCCAGGGCCTGGTAGCGCCCCTCCAGGGCCCCGTCGCGCTCCTCCCAGGCCCCGTAGCGCCCCTCCTGGGCCCCATTGCGCTCCTCCCAGGCCCCGTCGCGCCCCTTCCAGGGCTTCGTAGCGCCCCTCCAGGCCCCGTCGCGCCCCTTTCAGGGCTTCGTAGCGCCCCTCCAGGCCCCGTCGCGCCCCTTCCAGGGCCTGGTAGCGCCCCTCCAGGGCCCCGTCGCGCTCCTCCCAGGCCCCGTAGCGCCCCTCCTGGGCCCCATTGCGCTCCTTCCAGGCCCCGTCGCGCCCCTCCCTAGCCCAGTCGCGCTCCTCCCAGGCCCCGTAGCGCCCCTCCTGGGCCCCATTGCGCTCCCCCCAGGCCCCGTCGCGCCCCTACCTGGGCTTGGTAACGCCCCTCCAGGCCCCGTCGCGCCCCTACCCATCCCCGTCGCCCCTGCTCGGCCCCGTCGCCCCTGCTCGGCCCCGTCGCCCCTGCTCGGCCCCGTCGCCCCTGCTCGGCCCCGTCGCGGCCTATCGGCCGCGTGGCGCCCGCCCGGCCCCTGTCGCACCTGCCCGGCCCCTGCTCGCCCGCCCGGCCCCGTCGCCCCTGCCCGGCCCTGCTGTGGCCTGCCCGGGCCCCGTCCCTGCCGCCCGGCCCCGTCGCCGCCGCCCGGCCCCGTCGCAGCCGCCCGGCCCCGTCGCAGCCGCCCAGCCACGTCGCAGCCGCCCGGCCACGTCGCAACCGCCCGGCCCCGTCGCCCCTGCCCGGCCCTGCTATGTCCGGCCCGGCCTCGTCCCTGCCGCCCGGCCCCGTCGCAGCCACCCGGCCCCGTCGCAGCCGCCCGGCCCCGCCGCAGCCGCCCGGCCTTGTCGCCGCCGCCCGGCCCCGTCGCCGCCGCCCGGCCTTGTCGTGCCTGCCCGGCCCCGACGCACCTGCCCCGGCCCTCCATACTTCCTGGTACTGTCCCCCGTTCCCCGCACCACTTTGCACCCTCCTGCACTTTCCTACCCCGCCTTGCATCGCATTGCACCTCACTGGATAGCACTGACCGCACTGCACCGCACTGGACCGCACTGCACCGCACTGCATCGCACTGCACCGCACTGGACCGCACTGCACCGCACTGCATCGCACTGCACCGCACTGGACCGCACTGCACCGCACTGCATCGCACTGCACCGCACTGCACTGTCCTCCACTGCCCCTCATGGCTGCTGAGCTTCGTTTTGATGTTGAGGGTCAGCCTCTGGAGTTCGAGGCGTGGTTGGCTGACCTTCGCCGCCACCTCACTGGCCAGCGGCAGGACGGCCACCCGCTTTCTGCACACCTAGACGGTATGCTCCCCTGCCCTGACCCCCCTGCTGTGCTGCCCGCTGATCCCACGCCCGCTGAGCGCGAGTCCACTGCCGCTGCTGCCCTTGCCCGCTCTGTCTGGCTTTCCCGCGATGCCCTTGCTCAGCTCGCCATTAGCAATGCCCTCCCCCCCACTGAGCGCCCTCGCTTTAGAACCATTCCTACCGCCCAGGCCTACCTCGATGCTGTCATCAAGCGCTATTCTACCCCTCCTGCTGCCTCAGTGGGTCGCCTGATCCTTCCCCTGCTCTTTCCTGACCTGGCGTCTTTCCCCACTGTCTCTGACATCGCTGCCCACCTGCGCTCGATAGATGAGGCCTGGCGCGCTGCCTGCACAGATGCTCAGCTTAGAGTCCACCAGCCTCCCATGACCTCTACCCTCTACCTCCTTGCCACCCGCCTACCTGACCGCCTTGCCGCTGCCCGCGACCAGTTCCTTAGCATCCACCCTGCTGCTCTCACCCTCACCGACTTTGTTGACACCCTGACTGCCATAGAGACTCGTCACCGCTCCATAGCCCTGGCGAGCGGTACAGTACCGGTCCCTATCTTTCAGGGTTGTGCCCCCGCTCAGTGTACCTTCTCCGACGGCTCTGTCGCTGTGGCTGAGACTGCTGCTGCAGTGCAGTCCCGCTCGGCGAAGGGCCGCCGCCCCAAGGTTGGGAGCGGCGGAGGCGGCGGGGGTGCGGGTGGGGGTAGTGGTGGAGGCGGGTCGTCCGGTGCCGGTGCGGACGTGGGGACCCTGCCCGGTCCAGCTGCCCCGCTGCCTCCACAGTTGCAGCAGCCGCAGCAGCAGCAGTCGCCGCAGCCGCAGCCTTCGCAGCAGCCGCAGCAGCCGCCGCAGACGAGGCCGGCGAGTACTCTCCCACCTGGGTGGCCTGGAGCTGGTGGTGGTCGTGTGCGTGGTGGTGCACCGGGTGGTGGTTCTGGAGGCGGGCCCTGTCAGTACCAGCTCCAGACCGGTCCTCGCCGCGGCTTCGTTTGCGGTAAGATCGGTCATTCTACTCCTCGCTGTTTTCGTCGCCTGGACGACCTGTTCCGCCAGCGCTTTGGCCCGGCGCCCGACCTCCCTGACTGGCACAGCTTGCTTAGGCGTAGCAGTAGGATTTTTGACTTGGACATGGATGCCATTGTAGCGGCCTTGCATGTGATGTATGCTGATGACTCTAGTGTGCTTCCCTCTTATTACCCCGTGTTGCCTAGTGTAGCGGTGCCTAGCGTAGACTCCCCTGCTGCGTCAGGCGTAGGATCTCCTGCTTTGCTTAGCCTTGGTGCTTCCACCGCTTCACTGCTGCCTCGCGCGACTGCTGCGCTTTCCTTCACCTTGGACTCTGGCGCCTCCCGGTGTTTCTTCCGCGACTCCACGACGCTGACGCCGCTGCCTGTTCCCGCTGCAGTTACTCTTGCTGACCCCTCCGGTGGTCCCGTCGTTGCCCGCAGTTCCACCTCCCTTCCCTGTCCGGCGGTTCCTTCGGGCACTCTCACAGGTCTGCATATCCCCTCGTTCTCCAGGAACCTAGTTGGTGTCGGCTGCCTCCAAGACCTTGGCGTCACCACTACGTTCCCTGGTCACGAGCGGTATGCTGTCTGTACCGAGGCCGCCACTGGTGCCCCCCTTACCACTTTCCCCCGGGACCCGGTGTCCGGCCTGTTCACACTTGACACCGCGCCGTCCCCGGCTGGGTCTTCCCCCCCGGTAGCTGCGTCCACCCAGGTTGCAGCCGCGTGCTCCTGTCGGTCCCTCACTCACCCGACTCTCCTTTGGCACCACCGCCTTGGTCACCCTGCACTCCCACGTCTGCGTCACATGTCCCAGCACGGTCTCGTCCTTGGTCTCCCCGGTTCGTTCCCCGAGTTTCCCTCCTCCCCCGCCCCACCGTGCACGCCTTGAGTCGAGGGCCGGCTCCGCCGTGCCCCTCACTCCTCCTCTTTTCCCCCTACCACCGCACCACTGCAGACTCTGCACATGGACGTCTGGGGCCCAGCCCCGGTCCATGGGCCGCGTCGCGAGCGCTTCTTCCTAGTGCTTGTCGACGACTTCACGCGCTACACCACCGTCTTCCCCCTGGAGCGGAAGGCCGACGTGCCTGACGTTCTCATCCC